GACCGTCGCCCAGCGCTTCTCTGGGCCGCGCCCGGCAGGTGCGCGCGGGGACTCCAGGCCGGTGCCCTTTCCTAACAGGCGACCAGGTGGAAGCGGGGGGGGCCGGCGTCGGATGGTTGCCCAGGGCGCTCACCTCCGGTGTGCAGACGCGCTGGAGTCTTCTCTCCGCGCGTGGGTGTGTCCCCCCCCCCCCCCCCCAGCAGAGGGGGTCCGTGCACGTTACTTCTGTGTCCTTCTGTCTTTTCGGCACTGGGCACCCTTGCCTGCTTTATTAAGATTTAGAATTGTAAGTGTTATTATATGTATTCTGCGTTTTTCTTTTAAACTAACGCAGTAGCTTCAAAACTTAGCACAGTACCCTCTTACAGAGAATTGCTGAGACGCTGAAGAAAAAGGACAGAGGGAAAGAGAACAAGATAATACTAGTTGTCTTTTAAAAAATTGTTCTTTAATAGTTTCTAGGCATGATGCTCATTCCGTCCTCACAACAAACCAGCCCAGTACAAAGCATCACTCATTTTTACAGCTGAGTGTAGCGGGGTCCTAGGGAGGTCAAGTCACATGTAGACGGAGATTGGAGGAATCAGAGTTTGAAGTTCAGAGTGGCTGATTGCAAAGCTAGTGCATGTGACTCTCCGCACTACTGTGCCTCCAGGACCCACGAGACAGGGTGAGCATCTGGGTGACTCATGCCCTGCCGCCCGAGACAGCGGGCAGATCAGCCAGCGTGGGGAGTAGAAATGGACCCGCCGGCCTGGGAAGAAATCAGGGGAGCAACGGGTGGGGGGCGGTGACCACAAAGATTGAGGGAAAGGAGAGCAGTGCTTGGAAACAAAATCAAGTCACTAACATGAATCAAGAGATGCCTTATGAACGTGTTCCAGATTCTGACCCAATTATTCAACACATCCAAGGTGTCATATCATTAACTTACTATAGTGTTAGTGTTGTTCTTACCGTGAGTTACTGATTACTGAGCAATGAGTCAAGTACCATATAAGAGAAAGGAAACCCGGGCTCCCCAAATCATAGAGCTAGACACAGCCACACTGCGATGCACACCCAGGGCTTTAAATGCAGCCCCCAGAGGTTTCATTGATCATTCCCCTCCTCCCCCACCCCCCGCTGACCCTGGCAGAGCACTTGGTTCTCAGGCTTATAATGGAAATAAATCTTGAAAACACAGATACATTAAAATCCTAAATCTTATGGTTGCAATAATGAAGGAAATATTAGTTTCGTTTCCTATTGCCCTTTGTTCTTTGATCTCAACTCAGGTAGATTCCTACATTTTCTTTTCAATATTAAGCAATCAAATGATGGTAGGCAGTTGCTGTGTTTGTGAGATATTTTTCTACAACCGGAGGGTATTGCTAAAATTAATTTGTAAAAGAGTTCTATTTAGTTTATTTAAAGGCAGGTGCTTAAAAAAATTGGGCATTATAAGACTCGGAAAGGTAGAAACTAACCCAAAGTTCACATGATCTGGTAAAATATTTGATATAAAAGCTAGTTTAGGGGCACCTGGGTGGCTCAGTCAGTTAAGCGCCCGACTCTTGATTTCAGCTCAGATCACGATCTCAGGGTCTCGAGATTTAGCTCTGAGTCAGGCTCCATGTGGAATGCAGAGTCTGGTTGGGATTCTCTCTCCCTCTGCCCCTCTCCCCTGCTCGCTCGCTCTCTCTATCGTAAGAAATGAAAATAAAAAACTACTATGAAAAAAACTAGTTTAAAGTTGATGGCTTCATTAAAACAGACATGTCTTTAGAATTGTTGACATTAAATATAAAAATTTTTTTCTGAGTTTCCTAGCCAAGTAGGTTCACGTTAGGAGGCCTGTGAACAACAGAATGTGACAGCTTAGGATGATGACTGACTTTGTCTACTGTTTAATAAGAGTTTTGTGGGTAATCTACACATAACTTTTAAAAGCAAGTAAATGAAATAAATGTAAGCGAGATAAATGTTTATAAATAATCCTCTCAGTAATATTTGTGTCCACTTGGTTTTTCAAAATCTTTTTAGTAACCTAAAACTTTAAAGTTTTGCTGAGGTAGGTTAAATGGTGAATTAAGTGAAATCCATCAGAAATCTAGATCATTTCCAGATAAGATAAAATATTAAAACAGTAATTACTAAATATAGCTTTATCTACTTTGGGCTTCTTTTACAGAGAAACTAAAAGATATTTAGATATGTTAACTTAAAATGTTTAATATTTAATTTAATTAAAAAAGGTATACTTCTAGAAATTTTGAAATGTATTCACAGTTTTACAAACCTAAAGAATGCTGGTATAAGGGCATTAGTCCTGTCATGAAGGCTCCATCGTTAGGACCTCATCTAAACCTAATCACCTCCCAAGTCCCCCCCCCCCCCAATACACATCACATCACACTCTTATGTTGAGTCGTGGGGACACAAACAGTCCATAGCAGCTGGTTTCTATTGAATGGCAGGAGTTAGATACGATAAGTTAGAACGATAAGAAGGGTGGCAGCAGGGGAGACGCAGGGACTTTGTGCATATTCCTGTGGGTCAGATGAGTGCCAAGCTTCAATTTGTTTGTGGGAGTTAAATGTATGTTAGCAACTTCCTATAAGATTGACCTGAAAGTGTGGATGCCAGACAGGTAGTTTTGCACAGATTAAAAGAAGGCAAATGAGCTTGGACAAAATGCAAAGCCATCAAGGGATTGTAAGATGTAGATTGAAATGAACAGACTTATGTTTTGAAATCTCAGTCTGGCACAAAATGAATAGGGAAAATCCTAGAGGAAGAGTCCAGAGCTAGTAAAATATACTAACCATAGTATGAGATATCAGGGTAACACCTCTGATGGAGAAAATGGTCCCATTAGACAAACGTTCAGATACACAAAAATAAATTCGAAGTGGATGAAAGACCTAAATGTGATAGGGGAAACCATCAAAATACTACAGGAGAACACAGGCAGCAACGTCTTTAGCCTCAGCTGCAGCAACTTCTTACTAGACACGTCTCTGGAGGCAAAGGAAATAAAAGCAAAAGTGAACCGTTGGGACTTCATCAAGATGAAAAGCTTCTGCGAAGGAAACAATCAACAAAACTAAAAGGCAACCAATGAAATGGGAGAAGATATTTGCAAATGACATATCAGAAAAAGGGTTACCATCCAAAATGTATAAAGAACTTACCCAACTCAACACACAAAAAAACAAATAATCCCTTGAAGAAATGGGGAGAAGACATAAATAGACACTTTTCCAAAGAAGACATCCATATGGCCAACAGACACATGAAAAGATGCTCAGCATCCCTCCTCATCAGGGAAATACAAATCAAAACCACAATGAGATACCACCTCACACCTGTTAGAATAACTAAAATTAACAATTCAGGAAACAACAGATGCTGGCAAGGATGAGGAGAGAGGGGAACCCTTTTACACTGCTGGTGGGGATGCAAACTGGTGAAGCCACTCTGGAAAACAAAATGGAGGTTCCTCAAAAAATTAAAAATGGAATTAGCTTACAACCCAGTAATTGCACTACTAGGTATTTATCCAAAGGATACAGGAGTGCTGATTTATAGGGGCACATGTACCCCAATGTTTATAGCAGCACTATCAACAATAGCTAAATTATGGAAAGAGCCCAGAAGTCTATCAACTGATGAATGGATAGATGTAGCATATGTATGTGTTTGTATACACACACACACACACACACACACACACACACACACACACACGCCACAATGGAATATTACTTGGCAATGAAAAAGAACTAAACCTTGCTTTTTGTAACAACATGGATGGAACTGGAGGGCATTATGCTAACCAAAATAAGTCAGTCAGAGAAAGACAGATGCCATATGATTTCACTCATATGTGGAATTTGAGAAACTCAACAGATGAACATAGGGGAAGGTAAGGGAAAAAATATATTAAAACAGAGGAGGAGACAAACCATAAGAGACTCTTAAATACAAACTGAGGCTTGCTGGAGGGGAGGGGAGTGAGGGATGGGTTAAGTGGGGGATGGTCGTTAAGAAGGGCACTTATTGAGATGATTGCTGGGTGTCATATGTTAGAGATGAATCACCGAGTTCTACTCCTGAAGCCAAGACTACACTGTATGTTAACTAATTTGAATTCTTAAAAAGAAGAAACAAAATCAATAGGACATTAGCCTTAACTGGATTTCCTAAGAGCAGATTCTGAAAGTTTAATTCTGTTTGTGGGATTTATTGAGGGAGTTGGGGGCTGGAGGAAGAGAGAATAAAGCAGGTGTGAACAGGTGAAAACAGGTTCCAAATATGGTCTTAGTTATCGAAACATGTCAGCCACCTCCAGCCTGTGAGACCAGGGAGTAAATCTGCCTACCAGAGCACCCCACACGAGGAGGGATGGCTCCCAGCCTAGGAGTATGTGTCCTCCTGGTAGAGGCTGCTTTCTCTTGCCAAAGGCAATTCTTCAGACAAGGTTGGCTGTTTCCAACCAACGCTCATAGCAGTAGAGTCATGGCTGCACAGGCTACTAGAGGGGGTGGGGTGGACCCACAATGTCCATGACAACGTGATGCTGGCTAGATATTGGACACGAGGGACAGTGAAATGTGGTGTCACAAAGCAGGAATTAACTGTGTGTTAGGGAACACATGAAGTAGAGCAGGATGTCGGGGGAACACTGTCACATATGCACGGACTTGTGGAGCGTTCAGAAGGCAATGTTACGGGAATCAGGTGGACAGTGTGTGATGTGGGACAGAAATAACGGGCTGGCCGTGCAGATTTTACAGTCATCACCTTCTATGAATCAACTGCAGCTGCAGAAACAAAGGACAGAGAAGGCATGGGTTGAGAGAGGAGACATATAAGTAGACGCATGTGCACACTTCAGTATTTCCACTTCTTTTTCCCTTTAGTAAGCCAGCAAGAAGCCACAGACGTGAAATATGCTGTCCTCATTTATTTGTCTTTCTCAAAATGTTTTTCCTGTACTGTCCATGAAGTAGAAGATGATTTGGATTGACTTCTTCAGGGAAATAATCTTGCTTTCTCTTACTGGACCTGGCATTGGGGGAAACTTCTATTTGTTTGCCAGCCGTGTGTACATTTTTGTCACGGGTCCCAAGAAGAAGCCCGTAGACCTTATCCTCATCCACCTGGCTTTTACTAATACAATGACACTTTGTGCCAGAGGCATCTTTGATATGATAGCTTTTCATTTCAGTAACTTTGTAGATAGTGCCGGTTGTAAAACTATGTTGTATCTGGAGAGAGTGGCCCGTGGTCTCTCCATCTGCACCACGTGTCTCCTCAGCATGGTCCAGGCTGTCACCATCAGCCACAGGGCCTCCTCGTGGAGAAAGCTCAAGCCACAGACTGCATGGCAAGTCCTTCCCTTTCTTCTCCTCTTCTGGATCTTTAATTCCCTCATCAGCTCCAACTTGCTCTACTACATCACAGCCACCGAGAGCACGAATGGATCCGTAATCACACCGTATGTCGGCTATTGCTCTATACAGCCCTCTGGGCTAGCAGTCAGGTGGCTTTTCCTGACTCTCATGGCTCTGCGGGACATCATCTTTCAGAGCCTCATGGGCTGGAGCAGTGGGTACATGGCTTTCCGTCTGCATAAGCATCACCAGAGTGTGCTATACCTTCAGAGCTCCAGATTTCAGAGAAATCCCAGCCCAGAGATGAGAGCTACGCAGAGGGCTCTCATTCTCATGACCTGTTTCCTCCTCTTTTATTGGGCAGATTTCATTGTCTCCTTCTGCATCGGCTCCTTGTTGACCAAGGATTACACAGTGTTAAGTATTAAACTATTTCTAACACCTGGTTACGCCAGTCTCAGCCCCTTTTTGCTGATCAGCAGGGACGTCTGCAAGCCCACCTGCCGGAGAGCTCGCTGAGATGCAGGGAAAGCTGCTTTCTGTATTGATTCTGTTAGTAGCTACAGGTAGGTGATGTAGTGATATTTTCTGCACAGCAAAAATTCTGTCCAGCATAAATTACGAGTGTGTTATAAAAATAATGTGCTAGTCTGGGTTTTCTGAGAAGCAAACACCAAGACCAAATTAAATATGCAGAGAAGTTGTCAGGGAAAATAGACTGAGAGAAAGTGAGGAGGGAGCCCAGGAGGCCCAAGAGCCATCCAGTCAAAATGCAAGTTTGATTCTGAGTGAAAGACAGAAGAAAACAGATTGGGTGGAAGCATCCTAGGCTAACTTCTAGCCTAAGAAGAGTTAAACAAGGGAGTTATCTGGCCATCTGTAAAACTATAGGAAAGCCTCTAAACTCATTGGAAAGGATAGCATAACTTTGATACAAAAATCTGCAAAAGGATATTGCAAGATAATAAAATCATAGGCTACGGGGGGGCCTGGGTGACTCAGTTGGTTAGGCGTCCAACTTGGTCTCAGGTCATGATCTCATGGTTCGTGGGTTCAAGCCCCATGTCAGGACAGCTCAGAGCCAGGAGCCTGCTTTACATTCTGTGTCTCCCTCTCTCTCTGACCCTCCCCCACTCGCTCTCACGCGCTCGATCTCAACAATAAACATTAAAAAAATTTTTTTAAGAAAATCATAGACTAACATCACTTATGAATATAAATGCAGCAATTATAAACCAAATATTAGCAAACAGAACCCAACAATATGTAAAAAGGATAGTATATCATGTTCCAGTGTAATTTATTCCCAAAATGCAAGAAAGGATTAATATTCAATAAATCAAGGAATATAATGAATCTCATAAACACAACAAAGGACAAAGAATACATGAAACGACAAAAATCAACACCCAGTCATTAAAAATATAAATAAAACTTCTCAAGGAAATTATAAAGGAAAGTAAGTTTCTTAATTTGATAGAGATTTACTACAGGAAAACCACAGTTAACATCATATTCAATACAGAAATCTTAAATGCTATCTCTGAGGTTAGGAATGAGGCAAATGTGTATTATCATCATTTCTCTTCATCATTGTTCTGGAGATTCTAGACCCTGTGAGAAGGGAAAGAAAGAAAGAAAGAGAGAGAGAGAGGGAGGGAGGGAGAGAGGAAGGAAGGAAGGAAGGAAGGAAGGAAGGAAGGAAGGAAGAAAGGAAGGAAGGAAGGAAAGGGAAGAGAAGGAAAGGAAGGAAGGAAGAAAGAGAAAGAAAGAAAAGAAAGAAAGAGAAAGAAAGGAAGGAAGAAAGGAAGGAAAGAAAATGGATTGAAATAAGTAAATTTTTCTTTAGTCACAATTAATAAAATTGTGTAAAAGAAACTTGAAAAAATGAAAAAGAAGCAAAACTAGCAAGTTCAACAGATCAACGGTCAATATAAAAATAATTGCCTTCTACATATTAGGAATACATAATTGAAAATTTTACTAAAAGTTAAGCATCAAACATATGAGAGAAAACAAGCAAATCACCTATGCTGTTTCTCCACTGAAAACTACGGAACACTGATACATTAAAGCTACATAAATAAATAAGAATCTTATCTTCATGGAAAGCAAAACTCAATATGTTTCAGGTGTCAATTCTCCCAAATTATTCTTTAAAATTTTTTTAAGTTTATGTATTTATTTTGAGAAGGGAGGGTGGTGCAGAGAGTGAGAGAGAGAGAGAATCCCAAGCAGGCTCCAAACTGTTCGAGCCCGATGCACCGTGAGATCATGACCTGAGCCAAAGTCAGACGCTTAACTGAATGAACCACTCCGGCGCCGCAAGTTATTCTTTTTTTGAACCGAAGAATAGCTGACACGCATTAGCTTCAGGTGTGTGTTGTGGTGATTTGGCCTCTCCATGTCCTGCTGTGTTCACGCGTGTACCTGCCACCTGCCAGCTCACAACACGATCATAATACCATCGACCATATTCCCTATGCTGATCCTCTCATGCTTGTGGCTTATGGACTCTATAGCTGGGGGTCTGTCTCTCCCACTCCCCTTCACCCATTTTGCCCCACCTCCCATGCCTCTCCCCTATGGCAGCCATCAGTTTGTTCTCTGTATTTATGGATCTGTTCCTGTTTTTTGTTTGTTTGTTCATTTGTTTTGTCTTTTAGATTCCACGTATACGTGAAATCATATGGTATTTGTCTTTCTTTGTGTGACTTATTTCAGTTAGAAATACCCTCCCGGCCCATCCATGTTTTCACAGATGGCAAGGTCTCATTCTTTTTTATGGCTGAGTAATATTCCATCGCATATATACACACCACATCTTTATCCCCTCATCTACGGCTGGCCACTAAGGCTGCTTCCACATCCTGGCTATTGTAAATAATGCTGAAATAAACTTGGGGTTGCACATATCTTCCCCAAATCATTCTTTTTAAAAAATGGTTATATATTTATTTTGAGAGACAGAGGGTGTGTGTGTCTGCAAACTGGGGTGGGACAGAGAGAGAGGGAGAGAGAGAATCCCAAGCAGGTAGTGTGAAGCCCCACACAGGGCTCAGTCTTACAAACCATGAGATCATGACGTGAGCCGAAATAAAAAATTGGACACTTAACCAACTGAGCCACCCAGGCGCCCTCCTCCCCCCCATCACTCTTAAGTTGTAGTGCAATTTGGGTTGATACTCCAAAGTGTGTGTGTGTGTGTGTGTGTGTGTGTAAACTTGTATGCTTATGTTAAGTTTATGTGAAAATATAAAGGACCTACTATAAGCAGATAAAAGATACACTACCAGATATCAATTCTTATGTAATAAAGCAGTATACTTTTGTGCCAAGAATGGGTAAACTGATCAATAGAACAAGAGACTATGACCAGACTACATATTTATAATAATCTGATGTATTATAAGGGCAACACTTCAGTGCTGTGGGCAAAAAATGGACTTTAAGTGAATTGTGTTGGGTCTCTGAAATATCCACATGAAAAAATGCATCTGACCTTCTAACCTACATCATACAAACAATCAGTTAGAGATGGAATGAAGATTTTAATAAGTAAAATAATAAAGCTTTTAGAAGAAAGTGTAAGAGAATATCTTTATGACTACAGAGTAGACAGATATTTTCTAAAAAAGAACTCAGGGGGCGCCTGGGTGGCTTAGTCGGTTAAGCGTCCGACTTTCGCTTAGGTCATGATCTCGTGGTTCGTGGGTTCGAGCCCCAAGTCGGGCTCTGTGCTGGCTGCCAGCTCAGAGCCTGGAGCCTGTTTCGGTCTGTGACTCCCTCTCTCTCTGACCCTCCCCTGCTCACGCTGTCTCTCTCTCTCCTAGAAATGGATAAAACATTAAAAAAAAAAAAAAAAGAACTCAGGATGTCAAACAAGCTAACCCTAAAAGGAATTATAATTTGGACAATTTTAAAATTAGGAATTTCTATTCATCAATAGTCATCATTAAGAAACTGAGTAGAGAAACCACAGATTGGGACAAGACATGCGCAATACACATAACTGACAAAAGACTCTTACACATCAGTAAAGAAAAATAAACAGCCCAATAAAAATGGGCAAAGGCTTGAACAACCACCTCCACTAAATGGTATTCAGTGTCCAGTGAATGTATGGAAAGGCGGACATCATTAGTCCTCAGGGAACCACAGATCCAAACTACAGTGAATCATCACTGCACACACACCAGAAGGCATAAAACTAAAACATCAACAAGACAAAGAGTTGGCATACGTGTTTTGTTCATTAGACTTATTAACCTTTTAAAACATTTTCATAATAATGAATCGGTAGTGGGAACATAACTGCTGGCCTCACCTACCGGTACTCTGTTCATCCTGTGAAAGACCCCTGGAGACACTATTGAGCCTACTGATTATCTGGTGCTGGGAAGTCGTTTGTGGAACCACCCAAGACAGGCAGCGAAGACTTGTCAAGAAAGAAGGAAAGCAAGTGAGAACCAGCGCCAGAGTGCGAAGGAGGCAGGAGCAGAGAAAATCCCGTTAAGGAGAACCTGAATCCCATGGTCTCGAACCCAAGACCTCTCACTTAACAGATTAATCAAACAACAATGCTCCATTATCTTCAATATTATTTGAAATACATAATATAAGAAACATTTAATAACGTTAACTATATACATTTTTATGAGAAATTACATTGACTTGGGAAAGGAAACCTCTTTTACTGGCCCAAACCAGGGATGACTGGATACAAGGCGCAGGCAGAGGAGACCGCCCCTCAGGAAGTCTCCAGTATCAGACAGTTATCCCTGTTCTAATTCCTCTTTTTCCCCCGCTTCCCCCAGTGTTTCTTAGCTCCATAACTATTAACAAAAGCTGTTCTGAGCTCTGCTATTCGAGATTACCCAGCTCTTCCCACTCTACCCAGCTCAACTGAGTGACCACTGTGGGGGTCTGCACCCCACGTACTGGGTTAGAAGTGGGGGTGAGGAGAAAGGAGGCCACGTGAGCACAACAGACAGCAAGCACCTTCAGCTCACCTGGGGCTCCTGGTGCAGGAGTGGCCGGGGCCCAGGGTCTGGGGTCAAGCCAGCTGCCCACCCTGGACTCACTAGCGAGGAGCAGGGTGATGGATGCAAACATGAGCGGAAGTCATGACCATAGGCCATTTGAGTTACACATTTGTACTTGTGTGTTCTGTTTGTATGAAGAAATTCTAGGTGGGCATACGGGATAAAGGTGAAAGGTTGATGTTAGTGGAAGAAGGGACAGCTTGGGACTGGGGTGGGGGCAGGATTGTTTATTGTATTTCTTTATAGATGCAGGTTTAATTAAACCCTAGCAATGTCATGCCTATTCAAAAATACAAAACAAAGTTGTGGAAGGATAGATAGATAGATAGATAGATAGATAGATAGATAGATAGATAGATAGATAGATTCGTAGAGTATATGACCTTTAGAGGTTTTTATTCCACTCAGCATAACACCCTTGAGATCTATCTAAACTGTTGCATGCATCAATAGTTAAATTTTTTTAAAGATTTT